ATCTGTTTACTCCGGTGGAGGTTAGTCGCCCGCTAGAGACTCAGATTGAGAGGGTCTGGAGACCTTTAGTCGAGACTTCAGGCTAATTGAGAACCTTCCGCAGTATAACTTTCATGAAAACTGAACTTGGCAAATTGCAATCCGACTTAACTGCAGTCTAGGGGGAAACCATATCCGGGTGACCTCTCTTGACTTGACAACAAACCGTTTACTTGCTCTGTGTTTTGTTTGCTTGAGTTTCACTAAAAGTTCACTGCTAAATAACAAGAATTCACCGAGTAGTCATCACATCTAGGACCCGGGTTGACATTAAAACCCGACCCGCTATACTACGCTTTAGGAATTGGTTATACTTGGCCATTTTCTAGGGTGGCAGTAGGAGTGAGTCAGCCTCTCTCACACTGGTGGGTTCGACGGGAGAAGTGGGCGGATGGCGAGTGGCGGTAAAGAGGCGTTTGGGACGGTAGATGTTGTTTTGGGAACGTGTGACAATTTTACGGGGAGGAGGTGGGGCAGTAGGAGCGGTGGGTTGGGAGGGAGGAGTGATTGGTGGTGGGGAGGGATTGGGAGGTGGTGATGGGGGGTCGTGGGGGACAGTAGGGAGGGGAGGGGAGGAGTAGGAGGAGACAAGAGAGCTGTCGTGGGTGGTGGGCTAGGCGGAGGAGGTTGGGGATTGGAAATAGGTATGGAAAATGTGGGCGGGTCGACGTTGAGAGCGGCGAGCCATGTAGTCGTGGACAAAGGGGATGGGGTGAGACGAGAGAAAGGAAATTGTGTCTCATCGAATGTGACGTGACGAGAAACATAAACACGACCTGAATTAGGTTCGAGACACAAATAGACACTTTGAGTGGAACTATAGCCCAAGAGAACACATGGAAGGGAACGGGAGTCGAGCTTGTGGGATGAATAGGGACGGAGATAAGGGAAGCAAAGGCAGCCAAATACACGAAGTTTGCTGTAATTGGGATGGGTGCGATGAAGCTTGTAATGAGGGGAAGAATGAGAGAGAATGGGAGTGGGGAGCTTGTTGATGAGGTAGACGGCGGTATGGAAGGCATAAGTCCAGTATGAGGCGGGAATTGAGGCTTCATGAAGAAGGGAGAGGCCCGTCTCGACAATGTGACGATGACGACGCTCGGAGAGACCATTATGTTGAGGTGTGTGAGGAGGAGTGGTGAGGTGGGAAATGCCATGTTGTGATAGAAAAGAGTTCAATTTATCATATTCGCCCCCGCGATCGGAAAAGAGAGTAACTATGGAAGTTTGAAATTGATTTTCCACAAGAGCTTTGAAGCGAGGGAAAACATCAAATAAGTCGGATTTGCGTTTGAGAGGATAGAACCAAATGTAACGAGTAAAATGATCCACAAATATCACATAATAACGAAAGCCGTCAATAGACAGTACAGGGGCAGGTCCCCACACATCAGAGTAAACAATATCCAACGGTCGCGAACTATGCAAAGTTGAACCAAAGAAAGGTAAATGATGGCTTTTGCTACATTGACAAGCATGACAAGTAGAAAATTTCGTAGAGAGAAAAGGAAGGGAATGATCAGCAAGCAATCGTTGAAGAATCGGTTGAGCAGGGTGACCAAGGCGACAATGCCAAACGTCGCCAGAGGTCTTGACACCAACCAACACACGAGGCTGCAATTTATTGAGAGAAAGAGCTGGAAATTCATACACACCATCTCTAGCGCGTCCCCGAAGCACCGGAGTTCCCATGGGCTGTGATTTAACAACAAAGGAAGAGGGAAAGAATTCAACGGACACGTGATTAGAAGCACAAAATTTTGAAACAGAGATTAAATTTTGGGAAATGGCAGGGGAACAAAGAACATTGGTGAGGGAGAATATGTGGGTAGGTGAAGATAGGGAAAGGGAACCAGTGTGAGATATAGCCAAACCTGAGCCATCGCCGATCGCAATGGTGTCTGGACCGTCATACTTTTCCGAGAGAGCTAAATGGCCAAGGTTGTCAGTGACGTGATGGGATGCCGCTGAATCGAGGAGCCATGAGGGTGGTGCTGAAGATGAGGCGCCATGGCTGGTAGTGACGTTAGCTTGAGGATGAATGAGATTGGCCCAAAGTTCGGGGTGAATCTTGAAGCAAGTTCGAGCAGTATGCCCGACACGTTGACAGTACTGGCATACCGGCCTGTTGGAGGGCATTGCTGGAGCAGCGGAGGAGCCAGGGCCAGCGGGAAGGAGAGGTCCAGAACCATTTGGTAGGGAGAGAGGGCGCGAATTGTTGTTGCGCGGAGCTGGCCGAGAAGGCTGCTGTTGTCTTCCTTGGCGTGTAGTGGCGTTGACAAGCGGCGATTGGGGCTGAGCCGCCGTGCGCTGAAGGAACTCATCATAGGAGATGAGTTTGTCGAACAATTCTTCAAAGGAGGGAGGTGTGTCCCGAGCACGGACAGCAGCAGCAATTTCTTTGAAATCAGACCCAAGACCATTTAAGGTCCGAAGAACTAGATCAAGGTCATCAACAGGAGCACCGGCAAGTGCGAGTTCCCCGGCGAGCAGCTTGATTTCGGAGAGATAAGCATGAAGAGAGAGGCTGCCACGGGAGAAGGTGGAGAGCTTGTCTTTTAGACACAGAATCCGGGACTGAGAGCGAGGAACAAACATACGCTCGAGAGTGGTCCAAGCAGCTAGAGCAGTGGTGGCGGCATCAATATGGGGCATGAGAGACTCGCTGACAGAGACAAGAATTGCATGGAAGATGAAGCGATCTTGGCGAGCCCATCGAGAGTAAGCAGCTGAGGTGCGATCAGTAGGAGGAACACCCGTACCGTCAATATGCGACAACAAATCATAGCCAAAGAGAAGAGAAGTGAACTGAACTGAGATTTCCAGGAGGAATAGTTTGTGCCAGTGAGACGAACGGTGAGCTGGGATCCAACATTGAAGGAGACTATAGGAGGAAGAGAATCGTTGGAATCACCAGAAGAAACAGAAGAGACGCCGGAAGTCATGGTGTTGATTGAGAGAGGGAGAATGATGAAAGAATAAGAGCTAGAATAGAGAACCTCGTTAGAGGATTTTGGGGAGCTCTGATACCATATAATATTAATGAATGCTTGAATATTATTATTGTGAGCTGTTCACTTTTATAGATACAATACAACGGGAGTGTAACAGAGAGTGAGAATTCATGGGAAAGTAGTTGCAACAGAGGAGTCGTGGAGGAGAAATAGGCGGGGTCGTTTGTTAACTCCTAATAGCTATCACACTTCACCAGAGATCAAGTCCTAGCCAACAAACTGAAAGTACAACACATTTCCACTACCTTACAACTGGCGGATCCCTTCACCAAGGCACTTCCAGTTCACAGATTTGTCGATTTAACCTTCAAGCTTAACCTGAAATTGATCCACGTTTAGCTTGATGGAGGTATTAAGGATACAAAGTCTCAATTTGTACTTTATGATAAGTTTATATAGATAGAATGTAAATCGGATAGAAAAGTACTGACATGTAATTTAGTCGGTTAGTTAGGATTCATAACAGACTTTCCCTCCCTGTAAACCAGAGTATAAAGCCATCAACTCAACCTGGATTATGTACGTTTTTTTCATTCAATCAATAAACAAGAAGCATTAATCAGAAATATAGCAGTCCTGGTAGGCAGTAGCTGTTAAGCTAGAGGATCTTCAACCGTTATAAAATTCGTTTTCGGCACTTCATTCTCATAAGCAGTAGTTGTTAAGCAGAAGCTCTCTTATCGTTCCTTATGCATACTCTAACTTGGTCGAATACTAGCTTTCATTTACCCGGCATCCAAGTCCATGTGGCCAACTCCAAGGAGCTCGTATGCTGTTCGAACGACCACCAACCTCGGCGACGGCCGTTGCTGTGGCGGAGATAGCAGCTGGGATTGCACTTTAGCAATCGTCGTGGAATGCGTTTGCATATCATTAATCAATCAAATGTCTAGGCAACCCAAAATAATAAATTGATTAGAAACTAGAAAGCAAATCAACGAACCTAGTGGCGGACCTATGATTTTTTGATAGCTTTGTCTGTTGAACAGTATCGATTTGAAATTTCCATGAACAAACATTATGTATTTAGTAGAATATTATACATACAGTATCTTAGAGGTATGGAGGTCTATTTGAAGTAAGACTTACCTGCCAGGTAATAATGATATATGATTTTCAACATACTTTTCTTACCATTCTCCATGTTTGGAAAAAGGGTAGCGAGATAATTCATTTTTACGGTTAATAAAACAAAAAACATTAATTTAATAGTTTTTGGTTAAAATTCAAGTAAGTAATTGATTGTACGGTTAAAAAATGGTTTCATCACCGTAGATGGGAGATTTTGTTTGTACGCCCAACACATGTTTTATTTTTCATATTTGTTATAGCCAATTCAATTTGTTTATGGTTTGACATTTGTCATATATGAGATATATAGAAGGTAAAGTACAAAGAGATTTATTATCTTACGAAATTTAGATATGTTTATTTGGTGGCTAGAAAGACCCTCTCTTTGTACCCAACTACATGTTGATTTTTTGATTTTCAGGTCTGGTTGTCGTCCAGGGTGTAATTATCTTTTGATCCAATCAATATAACTGGTTATCTTTTGTATAAAAAAAAAGAGATACGTTTGATAATTGCTTCAATGAAAGCTAATGTATCTACATTTGAAAATCAATTGGCAAATAATTAATTTTTAAAAACGGTTGAAACAAACTGATGACCTGTAAAGTGTGTAATCAGTTTGATTTGATTGGGATAAAAAAGCAGTGCATGATCGACATGTGTCCCATGTTTTCATATTGTGCATGCACATGATCGACAGGTGTCCCGTACTTTCATATTTTGCATGCACAATGGAAAAATCTTTCACCGTTTCTAATTCTTTATAGGATTTTACTAATATGAAAGAGTTAAACCATATTGTTATTACCAAATCCTCATTTCCTTCTTCAACTTGTAAACAAACACACAAACTTAATTACCAACCATATTTGTCAATTTAAAGCCCTTCATATCAATGATAAACTTAGCTCACATAAGTTAACAATTCCATCCAAAATGAAACATTAGTCTATAAACCACCTGGTCTTCAATACCAAATACCCACTTTTCCATTTCCATTCGCCAAATTGATGACAACACTCTTACTCTATGTTTCGTCTAAATTTAAATTAAAAACTTGGAGAGCCTTCAGCAGCTAGCTTCAGCTTCTTCCTCTCGTGATACTCCTTCAGTTGCCTCTTGTACCTTTCCTTGTCCTTCATCCCTATGGTTTGATACACCTACACACCCAGAAAAGAACCAAATCATACAACTTCGGATCAAAACCCATTTCACAGTTTTTGGACCCTTTTCTTTAATTCACACAGTTTTACCGATTTCTCTTCTGCACTGAGATTGGTCCAAGCCTGTCCAATCATTTTGGTGAAATCCCTCTTCTGTTTGGGGTGCGTCTTCTTGAGCTGGTAGTGCCGCTCCGCAAAGAAGAAGTTGTAGCCACTCCTGTTGGATTTAGGGTAGTCAGGGTCCTCCATCCTTCTTCTGCTGTCCCTTCTTCTCCGGCCGCCGTCGCCGCCCCCTCCGTAGTGCCGGGACCTCCTAGGTGCGAACGACACTAGGGCGGCAGCGGTTGTGACGCCCCGAGGAGGGGCGGCCTGGGCGGTAACAATAGAAGAGGGCGCAACAACAGAATGGTACAGAACTCCGGTTAGGATCTCTGTACCAATTTTCATAGAGACTATGTAGCCCGACTCAAATTTGGTTTCGATTGTCCCTGTCGCGGTAAATGTGGATGGCTCTACATGACAAAAGAAACTCCAAGGAGTTCAATGATGTACTATTGCACATTGAGAAGTTAGGGTGATAGGGACCACACGAACAAAACAGAACTAGGTCTACCTCTAACCTACTGACCAAAGAGTCAAATTTGTTTTAGGGGAAGTTCTTTCCAAGCCTTTCTAATTGAAATACAAATAAAGTATCCAAGGTGAGTCATGAAATACACATGAAACAACATTTTACAATGAGACAAAAGGAAATTGAAAAGAAAAGAGAAGTCTAAAAAGGAAGCAAGAAACATGCATTATCATGTAACATACAACAACAAACCAGTAAAAGGGCCATATAGGCCACATATATATCTGAGGATTTGTAAGATAAATGTGATGGGTCCGGCCAGCAAATATTGATACAAATTGAGAAGTTACATAACAGCCCTCATGTATCATGCAAATAACCTAGGCACAACACTATTCATTGTCTAGAATAGTAATTGCACACAAAATGCTCATTTATGATTAATAAGTTTCAAATCATATAAAGTAGATTTAATAATTTCTAAGGTTAGTAATAAGATGATACATTTGTGGTGTATAGTTGGAACAATGACAAAGAGAAAAATGAACACCCCTTGCTATTTATCTCCAATTCTTTTCTTCCCTATTCTCAATAAATATGGGATGTGAATGAAATGTTCATAATTCATTTATAGGGGTATATTACGGAATATTCTTTCCAAAAAAATAAATAAATAGGGATATACGTTCAACGACATTTCGACTTGATTATATTATTCATATTCTTTTAATTAGATTCTAATACCGATTTCGATTCACTTCCAAACAGCAACGAACCGTGCCCATTCCTACCGATACGCATATGACAAGAACGAGAGAGAGAAAAACTTACCCTTAGCAGGGACCGGATTAGATGAATTTCGAACAGAGTTGGGATGAGGAGCAGAAGAAGAGCCTAGTAAAACGGCCACTGTAGGCTTCCTGAAAGACCGTCGTCCTCCAGTCCGACGACGAGATGCTGCAGCCACAATAACAATGAAAATTTGACACATTAGTCCCCCCAAACAATTGAAAAATTACAGAGCAGCCTATATTCTAAAAGGGAAAAATTGGGTACCCTTTTGTTTGCCGATTTCGGCAAAGATTAGACCCTGGACCCTAAACAAGTGGACTTGTTCATAATGGTACAGGATCTCAAGGTAATGCTTCCTTAGCACAAAGGAAGCACTTGTCGTTGTGCGAGAGAATCGAAACACCGAGCCCACTTCCTTCCATTTCTTCTCTGCAACCACCTGTTAACACCAGATCGCCATAGGATATCCATCCATTCAGATTAGAACCAGATTGAATTAAGATTGAACTGGACTAAAAACAAAGGAAAAATGAGAATCAGAATCAGACCAAAATATGTTTGGTTTGATTTGGTCCGGTCCAAATTCAGCTTCGTTCCATCTTTTTTTCATACATAAAATAATTCATAGTACCAAAACCAAATCAAATTATATTCGATCCGATCCAACTCGATCCAAATTCGATTTGGTAAGATTCGGTTCGATATGAATCGGATCGTTGTCCACCCCTATATACGATCATAATCAAACTAACACTGAAAAGAAATCTATGACAAACTATATAATAACACTCGTAATATAAAATAATACTATACTTAATACTCATGCTCTAATAGTTATCCCATGGATTTCTTTGAATTGTGACATTTTCGATTGATTGGAAGGAGATCAAGGGGAAAAATATACCACCATGATAATTGATAAATTTATGACAAATTATATTAACAATGAAAAGAAGAAAAGGAACCAAATTACCTTCTCAAAACCGCCCCTTTTCGTGGCCTCAATATAGAGGACATGCAAATCCAGGTATTTCCCTCCAATCACAGGAATCCTTATGAACCCAAAACAACAACAATGAAAGAAACAGAGCAAGCAACATCGTTACAAAGATCGAAACTTCATTGTCGGGGAAAAAAGGATTTAAGAGTGTTTACGAGAAGGTGGTTCCCATGAGGAAATGGAAGCGCCTGAGAGTGCTCCAGAAGGCCACACCATCTTCAACTACAACCTCGTGGGCTGCCAACGGAGCAGGGTAGAACTTCCTTATTACTTCTCCTCCTCTTCCTCCTTCCTCCCCTGACCGTACCCGCCGTTTCCTCCCCGCCGGCGACATTTGTTTCTCGCCGGAGCAAGATGGGAAAGGCAGGAAAAGGACGAACTGGGATAGAGAGCGAGGGGGGTTTAGAGAGAGAATTGATGAGAGGAATGGTAGTGAGGAACAGAAGTGGGTAGTTATGGGAAAGTTAAATAGTGAAATTTTTTTAAGAAGGGTGATTTACCGGGATAAGACTGGCAATTAAGAGACATGAAATTTTTCTTTCGTCGGTTTTTTGTATGTGTAGACTGGCAGCTGCAGCTGTGTGTGTATGAGAGAGCAAAGTAGGAGTCCCGCTAAGAAAAGGAGAGAGGTGACGCGTGGGATGTAGCGGTTACGCCAATTTGGATTTTTTTGCATTACCTGGGAAAACAAATTATGTTTATTTAATTTTTCCGAAGTGGCCGACTAACAAGCAACTAAGCAAAGAGTCTTTAGTCAACGACTAATATTAATTAATACTTTATATAATTAATTAATCTTGGTTGGGTGTTTAAGCCTTAAGGGAATGTATTTGAAATATCCATGAACACATTTAACAATAATTTATTTGAAGTAAATTAACTGCGAAGTAATAATGATATATGATATTGATACCTTTTTCCTATTCTCCACAAGGAAAAAGAGATGCGTGACAATTAATTTTTACAATTAATGAAACAAAACAGTAATTTAGTAATCTGAGTTAAAATGAGAAAGTCTATAATACTTGAGCCGTTAAAAATTATTTTGACCTTGGTAGGTGAGAAGTTTTGTACGCTCTACATGTGTTCTGCTTTTTACAAATGTTTTTTCCAACTCAATTTCATGGTTTGACAACTGTCCGCACTAAAAGTAACGTACACAAAGATTTGTTATCTTACGATGTTTATATACATTTGATAATTGCTTCCATTAGAGCTACCATATATGCATTTGGAAAGAGGTTGGTAAACCATTAATTTTTATAAAACGGCCGAAACAAATTGCTGACCTGTAAATTGCGTAAATCAGCTAGATTTGATTGGGACAAAAAGCATTGCATGGTCGACAAGTGTCCCACGTTTTCATATTTTACATGTATAACTATATTTTTATATGATGTTACTTACCAATATGTTGTTTTACCAAATCTCCATTTTTTTTATGACAAGGAAAACCTTCCACGGTCACCACCTTCAGTGATGTTGGACCAAACCCCGGGATCTTCGCCAGCAGTCCGGTCAAATGCAAAGTGCCTCCGGAAACACCATAGAGGCAGGAGGCGGTGAGGATCGAACCTGGGACCTCCAAGTCACCAGTCGCCTCCCTCACCACCGGGTAGGGTTGGATTTTCGGTTATCTCGGTTATAACCGATAACCGAAATGTCGATTACCGGTTTACCGCGAAGCCATACACGCCTACCGCCAACTGCCCGACGGATTCCATCGGTTATCCGACAACCGACCAGTCGGTTACCGGTTAGTTGCTCGGTTAACCGAGATAACCGCAAGTCCGCAACGACACAGTTGGCTCGGTTATAACCGAGTAACCGAACCGGGCAGCCCCCCTATACAAACAAGATCGCTAAAATTGCCTAAAATTAAACGTTCAATCCTACATTTCTACATCTAAATCACTCCACAAGTCAAGTTTCAATCATTTTTTAATAGAAAATAGATTTAAATCACCAAATTAATGTCTCAAATACTAGAACATTAGGTCATAAACTTCATAAAGTCACAAATAACAATAGATCCAATCCAAATAGCATAGCATTAACAAGTCACCACCAAATCATCACTTATCAACAGAAGAAGAACCAACATCTACATAACCCTTTTCTTTCAATTGCGGCAAGAGGTCATGACCAACATCGTCATATCCATCTTTCTCATACTCTTCCTCCGGCACATTTTTTTCACCCTCCTGCTCATTCCTATCTGGAATGTTCAGACTTGCATCTGCACTGGCAACATTGCCAACATCACTTGCACTTTTCATTCTAGACTGGAAAGTGGTATTAACTGAGTAAGAAAAAAGAAAACAAATTGTTAGAATATTCACACATTGAATTACGTAGAAAGAAATAGTATATGTTTACTTGAACCAACAATAATTAAAAGAGTTTTAGAACTTACCGCTTTCCAAATTCATGATCTCTTCACCATCTTCCCTATCGTCATTCTCTCTGACCCGGGTAGTTTGATACTTTATCCAATCCTTCTCACAAATCAATGCCTCCAACATGATATCACTCAAAGAAGACCCGAATGGACTGAGTATCCGACCACCACAGTTGAAGGTTGCCTCTGAAGCAACAGAAGAGATGGGAACAGCTAGGATATCCTTAGCCATCTTAGCAAGAATCGGATATATTCCAGAGTGTCGAGACCACCAACTCAAGATATCAAACTTGACATAGTCACTCTCCTCATTGATGCCTTAAGTTTGACTTCTTAAATAGATGTCAAGCTCAGCAGAGCTACCTCCTGTATCCTGCAGAAGTGCTTCCCTTTTCCTCTTTCTAAGCCTCTCCTCGAGCGGCTTAATCCTATCACCACCAGTCGTGCTCTCAGCAGTGGTAGGCTCAGATGTAGAGGAGGGTGCTTTTGATCCATACAGCTTTCGCATTTCCGACCTAATGCAGTTAACCATTTCTCCTCCCTTCACATTCCCATACATCATTGCCAAAACCTCAGAGCCCAAATCAAGTTTACTTCTTGGATCAAGCACACATGCTATATAAATTAAGTGGTTCACCTTCATGTTCTTCTCGTTCACAACACATGACTAAAACCAATACTTTTGTACCTTTTCCTCAACCTTCTCAACCATCTTTTGGATCTCTTCATGCATATCATTCTTCAATTGCTCAATGATGTCATATACCGTAACAAGCTTCTTGAAGAAGATATGGATAGTCACATATTTAGTTCATGTACAATGAGAAGATAACACAGAAGATTAGAATAAAACAAATAGAAATGGGCAAATGGTTAAAAAATTTAAACCGAGAATTATTGTGTGGACTTGAATACAAAGTTGTAAACACTGTATCAAAACTTTCTCCTGACTCTAACATTGTATAGGTGGAGTTCCACCTGGTCGGTACATCCAAAGACACCAGTTTGGTTGACTCCATATGTAGAAATTCCATGTCATTATTGAACTGTAACAACCTAGCTGGTGAAGACCTCACCCACTTCACACAATCCCGAACTCTGTCCACAACACCACCAACCAATTTCAGTCCATCTTGTACCACCAGATTAATGATGTGTGCAACACATCGAAACTGCAGAAACTTCCCATCTATCAAATCACACCCCACTCCTTTAGCTTCGTTCTCATGCACTCACTGACAACATCATTTGAAGTTGCATTGTCCATGGTCATGCAGAACATATTCTTCACCTTCCACTCTTCAAGAACTCCTGCAAGCTTCTCTGTAATATCAACTCCAGTATGATTTGTGATGGGAACAAAGGCTATCACCTTCTTCTACTACTCCAATCACCTCCAATAAAGTGAGCAGTAACACACATGTAATTCTTGTTGTTATCAGAAGTCCATATATCCGTAGTGATTGAAACTCTTCCTTGGCTCCTTGATTAAAAAAAATCAATTAAATCCATCTTTTTATCCAAGAAGATATGAAAGCAATCATCTCTTATAGCTTTCCTCCCGGGTATCCTAAACAGTGGCTGAACAGCAGACATGAATTGTTTAAATCCTTCCCTCTCCACAAAGCGAAATGAAAATTCATCCATATTGATTATAATGGCTAATGCATATCTAGCTTTTCCCTTATCAAACTTCCATGAACCACTTACTTGACCACCTTCTGATGTCTGCAATACTGTCTGATTTTTTGTTGCTGTCGCCAACTTAGCCAAACATGAGTGCATGCGGTTATTCATTGCAGTGGTCCCATTTTTGTGAGGATGAGCTTTGATTAGAGTATGACAGTGTATGCACTCTCCCATCGGGTAGCTGTCAACTATCAGCTTCTTAAACACCTTCCAACAAGAAGCTTTACCCACCGTCTTCAACCATTTCTCGCAGTAAAAAATGTCTTCTGTAGCTGCTCTGAATCAGGAGCGCCCATGTCAACAAAAGGAGTCTCGGCAGGTGTACTTCCACTGTAACATCCTGTTCCGGAAAAACCCATATCTCGATCGCTAGAAAGTTCGCGATTTAAAATCGAGCGTTTTGATAATATTTCGACAAAAATCGGATTATCAATCGATCGGATAAGGACCAATTACTATATTTAAATATATAGTAATATATATTAATTAATTATATGTTAATTTAACATACAGATGCTTGTTTGTCACTAGGAGAGGGACTTTAATAAAGTAGCAGGACCTGCAACCGCTACAATTAATTAAAAGTATAACTGCTGAAAACAACTGGCACTGTACCTCTAGAAACCTTTTCAATGCTCATTTAGACTCAAATTTCCTGTTCACTCCCCACTAATTGGTTGTTGGGCCGTGGTGGGCCCTTTGTGTCACCTAGCTTCTCATTCCAACTAGCTTGGCGGGTGATCTTCAGCGAGCAAGAGAGTCTCTGGTTTGATTCCGATGGCTGGTCTGCTTTGGATTGTGTTTGGTTGCTCTCTTTTCGTTTCTCTAGGCTGCTGCAGATTTGAGCTCTGTTCCAGTCGCGTTGGTCACAAGGATTTTGGGTGATTCGACAGCAGGTCAGAACTTTGCTCTGAGTGCCTGGGGAGGTCACTTGCATTTTTTATTGACGATGATTGATGGGGGAGGCAGTGAGATTGCTTTTGATTTTTTTCCTTTATGAGTGGTTTCATGTTGTTTTAGGCAGTATCCAGTGCCTCTCCGAAATCCGGAAAGTTGTTCATAAGGTTCTTGCTTGGTTGACAGGCGGCCACGTTGCCAACCATCCAGCCCAGTCTCCCATGTCTTCTCTTCTCTTCTCCATCCAGCGCAGTCTCCCATGTTTTCTCTTCTCCACTTACTCAATTTACCACAAAAGGGAGAAGCAGACGAGTGCTTTCAAAAAATCTCTCTCCCTCTCATCTTCCTCTCTGCTCTCATCTCCGTCATGGCGAGGAGCACCCAACAACCACTGCTCTCTCTCATTTTTATTCTGCGTTGGAGTAAGAAGCAATCAAGAGATGGTCGTGAGCGGCCCGGAGAGGAATAAGAAAGGTACCGATTGAACGACTCTTTTTAAATGTTCAGGTGATTTTCCTCATCCTCTTCTGATGAATTTGTTTTTCACCCGGTTCCTATATGGTTTCTTTTATAAATCAAAGGATTTCTTTGATTTCTTTCTCAGATCTGGCAGTTGATGACGAGAGAATGGTGTTGCAATAAACACAGATTTCTTGTGGTGACCCATGGGCGATGGCACGCAGGGGATGACTGATCGGATTACCCAAAAAATGAACCATGAGGTAGACAGTTTCCTCTACTACTTGCTGGGTTTCTTAGGGTTCTGACAGTTACTCACAACTGACTTCATTTGATTTCTTTTCAGAAAGCTGCTGGTAGTCTTGGGTGATAAAATCCACTCATCGAATCTGCGATGGAGATTCGTGTGTGATTAGGCGCCTGAAATTTTTTTAGGGTTTTCTCCTATGCACCAGAACCTGTAGTTTATTTCTTTGTTCTCTATTTCTTTCATTCGAATTGGACGCTCAAAGGAAGATTCTAAGGTGCAGAATTATGTTGTTGTTTTCTGTCTTTTTACTCTTCTTATAATGTCTCTTTTGTCACTCTGCTAGGCTATGTCTCTTCCATGCAAGTCTCATTTTATTTTTCCTTGCCCCTCTGGACGGCTGTAGAAGGAGCTGAAATCGTGGAGGGTCCGGATGCCGTCGCCGTGGAGAGGTCATTGTCGATTCCTCATAAGTAGTTCTGCTCTTGCCTGTTGGTTGGCTTTGAAATTCTCATTTGACACATCCCCTCTGATATTTATCACTTTTTCTGTAGTCCACAACATAGTGAAATTGGAATGTGATTATTAAGATTCGTGCACTCAATAGATGACCTCTCATCCAGGCAGTTAAGTTTTGCTGGCTTTTCTTTGCTGTGAGTTTTCCTCTAACGTTTGATGTCTGCACGATTGGTGGGGAGCTTTGATTTATGGTAGGGCACTACATTTGTACCATATTTGTTTCTTATGGATGGTTTTGCTATCTTTGTAGACGAAGGGATTTCAGATCTTAACCTGTGGACTGCTCAGTACTCTGCAGGCTGCAAGTGTTTTTGTTCTTCATATATGATTTTGGTTGTTTACTTTCCTAGGGAGCTTGCACCAATGTTGGGTGTTGAAATTCCTTTTTATCTTAGGATTATCCTTGCGTTGTTATTCTTTGTGATTTTTATCTAATGTACGGAACCTGAGATGTAGATTGGTGGTGCAAGGCGAGGGCCAGATAGTTATGGGGGGGTTTCTTCATCGGAATCGTGAATGGGAGCAGAAGGCTGGAGTCTTGGATTTCATGAACGTTAGCTTGCTCACCCTGTTAATTTGCAGGGGGCCTATAATTATGATTAGAATTCAGGTTTTATTGATGTTAGGTTCTATGCTTTTTGACGTAGATGAGGATTGTCAAGGTGTAGTGGTTGATCTTTATTGTTCTTTAGACATTTGAGTTCCTGTATTTTACTATTGTTTATTCAATTTTCATGGATTATAATCCGCAAATTAAAACACATGAAGTACAAGTTGTAACCATTCTGTTTTGAGATCGAATCACAAATCCCGGCGCGGAGCGAGGGTATGAATACTAGTTATATAAATACATCAAAACAAATTCCCTCTAATCCATTTCCATCTTCCATTTCTCACTTCCCCTTCCGAGAGAACAGAGAGCGCGCACCGAGAGGTCGAAGAAACCTCGACCAGTTTCTAGGATTTTTTACAGTGAAAAAAATAATGTAAGTGACATATAATCAAGGTTGTCAAAACGGTTTATACCGTTGTGCCGGTTTGGCAAGTGGAATGGTACGACCGGTGGTATAACCAGTTTGTGCCGGTTCATGTCGGTTTAAAAAATGTGAAAACAATTAATATCCAATGTATCTAATCATATATAAAACATATTTGTGGACAATTTAGTTACAATTTAACAAATATCATCAACTTTTAACTATTACATTCATAAAATGAATAATAAATTAATTTTTTATTCATTAAATTCATTAAAATGATGTCATTTTACTTAGAATGTGTAAGTCCATCATATCGGTGGTGTCATGCCGGTTTCATGACCGGCACAGGTTAAACCAGGTTCAACCGGGTGGCATGCCACCGGCATGACAACCATGCATATAATTCTTCCATACAATATAGTTGATAAGTTTATGGGTTAATATAGCTCTTTTGGTTCACAAATTCCTTAGGGTTCCGGTTGAAGGAATTTGGAGTTTTGGAGTATCCGAAAGCCGGATTAAGCCCAAATTTCATATACGAGCTTCCTGCAGCGAGGTAATTAATCCTCTGGTTCTAATCCATGAATTTCGACTATTATTTAGGTCGGGGTCCAAATCGCTGAATTTAGATCCGACCATGGTTTGATGTGTTTTTATCGAGAATTTGACCCGGAGCCTAAAACTAACATTGACGGGGATACTGCAGGGGATATTAGGACGGTCTCGGATTTTAATTCGGGGTTCGTTGGTGAAATTGACGTTTTAGTACGAGAAGCTTAAATCGGTGTTTGAACGACCAGAACGGGTGAGGGATTAGCACATCATACCGGGTTTGTCGTATCACGATAATTATATTGATGCTTAGAATTGACCTAGGTGAATTAGAATGACATGATTAGGGGTGTATGGACTTTTATGCTATATGATGAACCATGGATTGTTGTATGATATTATTGACTTGCCCTAGCCGATATGGACCTTGTTTATGTTGATGATTGCATACATGTTGCCATTTGTGGCTTAACCGTTGATATGACTTCATGGTTGTTCGATCAAGTGTTTTGACATGATGTGATATTGTGGTTGTATTTGGATTCACTAGTGGGGGAAATAAACTTCCCAGGGTGATATTATGATGTTTAAGGAGGATGACTTGCACGAGGGTTTATCCCGAGGAAGTGCAATTATACGACTCCTGATTTACCTATGTTGAGCCAATTATGGCCAGGTCAAGTACATGTGCAAGTAACGAATTATGATTAAGCAAGATGAGATATGGATCATGGATAAGGATACCAAATAAGAATGATTTGGTCTTATGGTCAATTATATAGAAATTAGGGCTCCCCATGCTATTACTTTGTTATGATATGTTATGTTACACCCTTGATGTGGTGTTGACCGTTGATTCATCATGAGATATGACCACACCCAGAGTGGTGTTGAGTCCGATATGACCACACCCAGAGTGGTGTCAGGTCCGATATGACTACACCGGCAGTGGTGGGTCCGATATGACCACATCCACGAGATGTTTGTTCCGTATTTCCCGGGAGAGTTATTAGCACGGGAGTAGCCAGGCGCCTATAAGTAAAACATGATAAGATGCATATGCATAAGTCAAGGTGGTTGAGTCTTTTGCCTATTGGGATGTCAGATGCTTGATGTCTGATCCTAGTGCTTTGGCTTGTTTGCTAGATGTATGGTAGGGGTATGCTCTGTTATGAACTCACGATGCTATGAATATCTCACTCAGCTATGAGCTGACCCTCTTTATCCTTTTTCTCTGCTTATGCTATGTGTAAGCAGATCATCATCAATAGCAGTAGATAGGTGTTAGGTGGGAGAGGAGCTAGAGTTGAAGTCAAGATGAGGTATGGTTTTCAACTATTATGTGCTTGGACGACTACTTGGGGTTTTGGCCAGTGATCCACACCTTTTTGTAAAAATGTTTTGAGAACGTTTTTCATGTGCATACTAGCTTCTGATGTAGTGTGAGATATCCACAGGTGTGGAAAGCTGATGATATGTGTATATTTATGTGGTTGTGTAAGTTATGACGACTATGATATGTATTAGTAAGGTATGCAGTTGTGGAGTATGAAACTGTGCCTATGGCTATGAAAGCCAATGTATATGGTTGTAAGTATATATGTTTGTTTATGGATGCAGGGATTCAGATAATTATTTTGCACGTCTAGTTGCAAGAACTGTTAGCCCATTACGCGAGTAATTCATGTCGAAATTTTATTTGATTTTTGGTAATTAATGTAACACCTGTTTTAAATTCCGCTGCAATTGTGTGAACAATATGATCAGGCAAAACGTATAGGGTTGGGTGTTACATCCACTATCGACAGGGGCAGGAATCAATGGACTTGATGAAGACGGTTCAGCTTTAGTAGCTTGAACAGGTCGACTTCCTGTACGCCCACCACGACCCCGGGTTTGAACAGGAGCAGTCGCACCACCACGACCTCGAGGAGCAGTCGCAACAGTAGGGACACCTCGTCCGCCACGCCCACCACGAGGAGCCGGAGGTCTCGCCATAAAAAACAATTACACAAATTGAAACTCAATTCAAAAAATTCATCTAAATCAGTGGCCATAATTCACATACACATAACACTAATTTCTCTAACAACAAGTACAAGCCTGTCCTGCTGTCCAAAAGTACAAGCCATTTCATTCACAATTTAACATGATATACTTTTGAATCTCGAAAAAGAATTAATACCAAAGAAATCTTAGTGAAAATCAAGCAACAAATCCAATTAGAATTTGAAAAGCAAATCAATAATATATAGAAAATTTTCAAAGAGGAACAATGACAAAAAAAATTAGTCCCTAAATCTCTAGGCCAAATCAGGATGCTAGTGGAGCTAGCTGCGACCGCACAGTGCCATGCCTGCCCAAAACTCACAAATTCACATCAGATTGAAAGTTTGAAACTAAAGAAGTCACAACTCAGATCAAATTGATCAGAGGGGAGGAACCGAGGAACAGCGGCCGCTGCTGGCTGCTCGTGGACTGGTCGGCGGAGGAGGAGATGGCGGAGCGGCAAGGGCGCGGGTCGGGGAGGGAGATGGCGGAGAGCGGTAGCGTCGGGGAGGGAGATGGCGGAGAGCGGCTGTGTTGGGGAGGGAGATGGCGGAGAGAGGGGGAGTCTCTTTGCCGAATCGTCGTTCAGGGCAGGCGGCAGCGAGAGTCAGGGCAGGCGGGGGCGGCAAGGGAGAGATCTCGCGATGCAGAGAAGAGGAAGGGGTTAGAGGTTAGGGGTGGAATGGTGGATCGATTAGGGTTAGGTTGGAAGTGGGTCGGCGTTGTTTTACGAGGGGCTAGATGCGTCGGTTAGTCGGTTTAACCGACGGTTATCACTGTCGGTTAGCCGGTTAACCGGCCTATCTAACCCGCTACCGCACACGTTTATTTCGGTTAGTCGATTAATCGGTAACCGCCAGTTATCGGTTTAACCGGATGGTTAACCGGCAAACG